CCCCTTTGGGGAATAAACGGGTAGAAACTGTAATTTGGTACTTCTTTTGCACCCCATGTATCCAAAGTATATTAATAAAGTAGCGACATCTCTTGTTGTACAACAACATCTACAACAACCACATATATTTTGTTTTTGGAATAATTTAAGATTGTGTCAAAATAAAATTTCCTTGAACAACAATGTGAACAAAACATAAATAAAAAATATTACTTTTAAGTTAAAAATATTAACAATTTAATTATATTATTATATATTATACAATTTATTACACTTTTAAACTACTTTAAAACCACTTTTAATTCACTTTTTCAACTTTTCACAAATTTTAACAAATAGCAAAACACAATTTAAAAATGGCGACGTAAACAATGTTAACAATTTTCAAAACAAACTTTGACAACTTGCTTCATTTATCTAGTTTAATAAAAATAGTCAGCTGTTCAAGTGATGCTACTTTATTAATATACTTTGCATGTATCTTTTAAACCAGGGAACATTCAAAAAATATTTTTGAATCCTTCATAACTTGACGAACAAATAAAAATATGAATTTAGTACTTTTTGGATATTCGGACGTTTAAGGGGTGAAAATTGTATCTATTTTTGGTACTTTTTTATAAAAAACTGTTTTTGGTTTATTAACTTATATATATGAATACATAATAACGGGCTCCCAATACGATGTTGCAACTGGTACTTTTTAGACTTAGAACTTAGAAACATGTAATTAAGCACTTGAGAATTTATAAAAGTGGACTTTTTGGTACTTTTTCGTTCTTCAAAAGGTACTTTTTGAGCTTGCTACAAAATATGAACCTCGAAACATGAAATTAAGCACTTAGAGCCTGGAGTAAATGAGAATCTATAAAATGGGAACTTTATCGTACTTCGACTGGTACTTTTTGAGTTTTCCATAAAATTAAACCTAGAAACATAAAAATAAATATGTAGAGCCCGGAGTAAATTATAATCTATAAAAAGGGACTTTTTAGTACTATTTCGTTCTTCGACTGGTACTTTTTGAATTTTTTATAATATTGAACCTAGAAACATGAAATTAAGAATGTACAGCCCGGATTAAGTGATAACATATAAAAGGGAACTTTTTGGTACTTTTTCGTTCTTCGACTGGTACTTTTTGAATTTTTCATAATATAGAACCTAGAAACATAAAATTAAGAATGTACAGCCCGGATGATCCTTTTAAATGATGTTGTTCTGGAAGAACTTTAACATCCATGTAAACATTTTGGGTAATAAATTGTGGGACTACCAATGAGGGGAGCGAAACCTCCCATATGAATTAAATACAAAAATTCGTTTATCTGAGAAACTAATAGAACTAAATTCTTCAAATTTTGCACGAAGAACTTTAATGTTCATCTGAACATTTTGGAGAAAAAAGGGCGAACTTTCATCTGGGGGCTTCGAGCTCCCATATGAATTAAATAGAAAAATTCGTATATCTGAGAAACTATTAGAGCTAGAATCTTCAAACTTTACTGAAAAACATTTAGAGAATTACGGGCGGACTTTCAATGGGGGGCTTGGCACTTCCCATATGAATTAAATACAAAATTTTGTATATCTGGGAAACTATTAGATTATTCAAATTTTTCATAGATTAAATTAAAATCTCAATTAACGTTCGGAATAATTGGCAAAATTGCAATAATTTGCGTGGAATCTCCCATATGTAACAAATTGTATATCTGGAAAACCATTGTAGTTAGAATATATATTTAGTGTCCACCGATATATTTAGTGTCAGTCGCCGCCGCCGTTAATCTTTGTCGGCGCAGGGCTCTGATGGCAATTCGTTTATTAAACATCTGTCATCTTGTCTCTTGCATTCACATGTGTGTTTGAGGTAATTTTTCTTTTTTTGCCGAGTTCTCGTACAAATTTTCCGGTCTAAAACTGTGATGTAAACTTTAAAATTGTGCAATTAATAACATAAACTACATGTCTTTGCAGGTGATAAATAGATTTTATAAATTTACCCCCAAATTCCATCATTTGAAGCCGCTATTAGCAGTGCAATATCAAGAATTTGCCAGCGTAGCAGTAAAACGAAAAGAAAGAAATTTGCTAAAAAGTGGTGAAATCATCCAGTTTTCTTACGACTTTACACAAGGAAGTAGACGTTATAAGAGTGCTGCACAAGCTTCAGTAAAGTGGGGCAGTAAAAAGTCCAAGAGAAACGTTAGATTGCAATTGAAAGATATGACCACCCCCGAAATGGAAGAGCAATTGGCTCCCTTGAGAGCTTTGGTATTGGAGCAGGGTAATTTGGTGCGTGAATTGAAAGCCAATGGAGCTGCTGAAATTGATGTCAAGAAAGCGGTAGCTGAATTGAAATTGCGCAAAAAGGCTTTGGAGGACAAAGAATTGGAATTGACCCCCAATGTGGTGAATTTTGATCGTTCCAAAATGGAAGATTTGCTCAAGCGTAGATTCTTCTATGACCAAAGTTTTGCCATCTATGGTGGTATAACCGGCCAGTATGATTTTGGTCCCATGGGCTGTGCTTTAAAATCAAATATTTTGTCTTTGTGGAGACAATTTTTCTCTTTGGAGGAACAAATGTTGGAGGTGGATTGTTCTATTTTGACTCCTGAACCTGTATTAAAGGCTTCCGGTCACGTAGATCGTTTTGCTGATTTGATGGTTAAGGATGTTAAGACCGGTGAATGCTTCCGTTTGGATCATTTGATTAAAAATGCCTTGGAAAAGTTGTCTAAGGAAAAGACAGCCACCGCTGAACTTAAGGTCGAGTGTGAAGATATTGTTATAAAATTGGATGGCATGAATAAGCAGGAAATGGCTGATATATTGCAAAAATTCAACATTAAATCTCCACTAACCGGCAATGATTTGACCGAACCTATAGAGTTTAACCTGATGTTTGCCACCCAAATTGGTCCCACTGGTTTGGTTAAGGGCTTCTTGCGTCCCGAGACTGCTCAGGGAATTTTCGTCAATTTCAAACGTTTATTGGAATTCAATCAAGGCAAATTACCATTTGCTGTGGCCCAAATTGGCAACTCTTTCCGTAATGAAATTTCTCCTCGTTCTGGTTTGATTAGAGTAAGAGAATTTACCATGGCCGAGATAGAACATTTCTGTGATCCTGCCCAAAAAGATCATCCTAAATTCGAGTTGGTGGCTGATACTATGATGACTTTGTATTCTGCCTGCAATCAAATGGATGGTAAATCGGCTCAGAAATTAAGCATAGGCGAAGCTGTCAAGACCAGTCTAGTGGCCAATGAAACTTTGGGTTACTATATGGCTCGCATACATCAATTTTTGTTGACTATTGGTATTAAGCCAGAGTGCTTGCGTTTCCGCCAGCATATGGGCAATGAAATGGCTCATTATGCTTGCGATTGCTGGGATGCTGAATGTTTGACTAGTTATGGTTGGGTAGAATGTGTAGGCTGTGCTGATCGTTCTGCCTATGATTTAAGCCAACATATGCAGGCTACTGGTGTCAGATTGGTGGCCGAGAAACGTTTGCCTGCTCCCAAAACTGTCGAAGTTTCCGAAATTGTACCCAATAAGCAAACTTTGGGTAAAACCTTCAAAAAGGATGCTAAAGCCATTACCGATGCCTTGGCTAAGCTATCTTTGGAGGATATTAAAACAGTCGAACAGCAATTAAACGATTCCAAGGAATATACTCTTAATGTAGCAGAAGGTTCCACCTTCAAACTTACTCCTGATACCATTTCCGTCAAACACTCTTCAAAAACGGTGCACGTTGAAGAAATCATACCCAGTGTGGTGGAACCGTCGTTTGGTATTGGCCGTATTATGTATGCTTTGTTGGAACAGAATTTCCTTTGCCGTGATGGTGATGAACAACGTTGCTATTTCACTTTGCCTTCCGTGGTGGCTCCTCTGAAATGCTCCATTTTGCCTTTATCCAATAATGCCGAATTCCAACCTTTTACACGCCAACTTTCGCAAGCCTTGACCAAGGCCGAGTTGTCACACAAAGTTGATGATTCCAGTGGCTCTATTGGTCGCCGTTATGCTCGTACCGATGAGATAGCCATACCTTTTGGTATTACAGTAGATTTTGATACTCTACAAGAACCTCACACTGTCACTTTGAGAGATCGCAATAGCATGAAACAGGTTCGTGTCGATATGTCTGAAGTAATTGACGTTGTCAAAGATTTGTCTACTGGCAAGCTACAATGGGCTCAAGTTTTGGAGAAATATCCTTTGTTCGAACAGCAAGAGGCTACCAAGTAAATGTGTTAGAAGACTTTTTACACATTTTTTTATTTCTATTTATTTTAAGTTTTTTTTGGTTTTTATTGCTTTTTTTCGATTATTATGCCTTTTTATAAACATTTATTATAATTCAAAAATTTTAGTTTAACTGCATTTAATTCTCACGAAAATATTATGAAAAAAGTGTTTAACACTTCAATTAATAAAGTGCTTAATGAGACATAAAATAAAATTTGTTTTTATTTACTCAAACTAGACTTAAAGAGAGTGGTAGTAACATAGAATTTGTTAGATTTGTTTTCAAATTTGCAAAAATTTTATTAAAAAGGTGTTTAAAATAAGAAAAAAAATGTTTCTATTTTTGCTTCAATTTCACCTAAAATAAATAAGTCAAAGTGTTAAAATAACTGTTATATTGATTTGTTTACCTTTTAAACTAAGATGACCATACTGTTTGAACTTATAACTTTAACATATAAGCTTGCCATATTGTTTTTAACAAACAAGTTAATGTTTATTTAAATTATCATCTCTTTTATAAAAATATAACATTTATTAAATAACTTTCAATATTTTCTTAAAAATTTCAAATTAACGTTTTAAAAAACTGCCATATTACGTATGTTTAACTTTCTATTACTTAAAATAGCGTTTTTTTCTTTTACAACCATATGGCACCTCCAAAATTAGCTTATGACAAGATTTTAGTTGGCAACATCTGTCAAAACATGTGCCAAACTACTTAATCTGACACAATGTGGTTAGTTCGTTGAAATGTTTTTGCAAATAAAGTTTTTTTAGTAACGCGCAAAGTAATAAATAATATTTTTAAGATAAATATATTAAATATTAACTAAAAAGTTTATAAAAAAACAAATAAACATTTGCTAAAGCAACACAACTCAAAATAAAAGCAATTAAATAAAAAATTAACACAAATAAATTAAAAGGTACACTAACGAAAATTAGAAAAAAAAACGTGAGTGAGCGTAAAGCAAAACAACAACAATAACGATAATAGAATCTTATAAGAGACTTGTCAAAGCAACGGCAAAAAAATAAGGAAAATTCAATAATTTTTCTTCTTTTTTACGAAAAACAACTAATAAATAGCAACGCAATTAAAGAAAATAAACAATTAATAAACTAAAGAAAAAATCCTAAAGTTTCATAATATCAATTGCATTGAATTTGTTAAATTTATTGTAATATACTAAACCGCGTGCTTTTTTGCGTCTCCTATTGACAGCATCCCTCCCACCAACCAGCCAATCTATAAAATAAACACATTTTTTTTGTTTTGTTTTCAATTTTTAGCTAAAAAATCTATTCCCTAATAAAACAAAAACTTAAATAATAAAAAAATAAGGTATTTCCATAAAAATATAGTTATTTTTTATTAAATTTATATTAAAGTTTCAAATTCCTTTACATTTAGCACTATGAAGTACATATTAGTTACCGGTGGTGTTATTAGTGGTGTTGGTAAAGGTGTTATTGCCTCCTCATTTGGTACTTTATTAAAATCCTGTGGTCTAGATGTTACTTCCATTAAAATAGATCCTTATATCAACATAGATGCCGGCACATTTTCACCCTATGAACATGGTAAGTTTGTTTTCCGATATTTTATTATTATTTATAAATAATTGTTGAAATTATTAATCAAATGGCAATAAAGTCATGAAATTTGCCAGTAACTGGTTTATTTTGTGATGTTATACCTACAACGTTTAAGATTTTTTGTTAAGTAAGGTATAGAATAAAAAATAATTTCTTAAATTTTATATTGTTTATTATGAAGGTCGTTTTTTGATTTGTTTTATTTATTTTTTGTATTTCTTTTTTATTTTTGTTGTCTATTTTAATTTCCTTTTTCCGTTGTAAACATTTTTATCTATTAAATGTTATTTAACCCTACACCAATATACATACATATGTATATGGAGGTATTAGGGGTTTGTAAGGATGTTAGTAACATCTAAAAGCGAATCAAATTTTTATTTATAACAGAACTAGAACTGAACTAGATCTGAACTAGAACTGAACTAGAACTGAACTAGAACTGAACTAGAACTGAACTAGAACTGAACTAGAACTGAACTAGAACTGAACTAGAACTGAACTAGAACTGAACTAGAACTGAACTAGAACTGAACTAGAACTAAACTAGAACTGCAATACAACTGAACTAGAACTGAACTAGACGAACTAGAACTGAACTAGAACTGAACTAGAACTGAACTAGAACTGAACTAGAACTGAACTAGAACTGAACTAGAACTGAACTAGAACTGAACTAGAACTGAACTAGAACTGAACTAGAACTGAACTAGAACTGAACTAGAACTGAACTAGAACTGAACTAGAACTGAACTAGAACTGAACTAGAACTGAACTAGAACTGAACTAGAACTGAACTAGAACTGAACTAAACTAGAACTGAACTAGAACTGAACTAGAACTGAACTAGAACTGAACTAGAACTGAACTAGAACTGAACTAGAACTGAACTAGAACTGAACTAGAACTGAACTAGAACTGAACTAGAACTGAACTAGAACTGAACTAGAACTGAACTAGAACTGAACTAGAACTGAACTAGAACTGAACTAGAACTGAACTAGAACTGAACTAGAACTGAACTAGAACTGAACTAGAACTGAACTAGAACTGAACTAGAAATGAACAAGAACTGAACTAGAACTGAACTAGAACTGAACTAGAACTAAACTAGAACTGAACTAGAACAGAACTAGAACTGAACTAGAACTGAACTCGAACTGAACTAGGACTGAACTGGAACTGAACTAGAAAAGAATTAGAACTCAACTAGAATTGAACTAGAACTGATGTAGAATAAAATTAATTCAAAATTCTGTATAAAATGAAAGATCTTTATAATACAAATTTCAAAAAAATTTTGTTTATTAAGTAAATAGAGTGTTCTTCTTATTCGCATTGTCTAATGACATCACAATCATTTACATGTTTTGTCTTTTTTTTTTTCTGCAATTTTTTTTTTGAAAAACTGCCAAATATCTACTGCGTCTGCTGTTCTTTTTTTTATACATATTTTTTACAAAATAAGAAATTGTCGTTTTATTTAGGGATTCAAAGAGACCCAAACAGCAATGTCAAATATTAAGCAGCAATTATTAAGAATAAAAAGTTAAAAATATAAAAAATAAGATAAAGTAATAGAATTATTAATTATTTAAAATATTTATTGGAATGAAATGCTGAACTTGTTATATTTTCTATTATGATTAGTTATTAATTACTAGTGGTTATAGTAAATAAATATATAGGTTACAAAGATAACATTGCAACCTTGTTTTACAAACTATTTTATAAAATGAAAACTAACTACATAATGAAATAATAACATTAATAATTGAAACAACACTAGAATGATTACAAAAAATTAAGAAAAAAGGAAACCCAAAAAGATTACAAAGTTTTGTCATTTTTAAACAGAAATTCAAATGGAAAATGAAAGTTATCTCTGACAATTTTTCATTAAAGACTAAGGAAGTTAATAAACAGCACATGTCTGCTTGTTTATTAGAATTTTAAGAAAAAGGCGCATTTAATGTAAATAAAATATTAATATTTAAATTAGTTTTCAAAACAAAAAACTAAACAATACACAAATGCTTTAGTATTACTATGCAAAAATTTAAAACAGATTAAATTAAACAAAAAATGAAAAATAAACAAAACAAATGATATTTTTGCTTTGCACAAACAAATTTAAAATTGAAAACAATTTTGAGATAAAAGAAAGGAAAAAGCAAGTGCATTTTTACTTATTATACGTTTGGCATACAAATTATTTAAAAAATTAATTAATAAACTGAAAAACTTTTAGTTTTTCTTAATTTTATTTTAAAATTATTGAGTTTAAAAGAACATGACGTAGTTTTGAGGATTTTTTTATTTCTTTTGAATTAATTATCAACAAGTGGCACGAACATTTTTGAAAAACGTAAGAGAGAACTAGAACATAACTAGAAAAGAACTAGAACAGAACTAGAACAGAACTAGAACAGAACTAGAACAGAACTAGAACAGAACTAGAACAGAACTAGAACAGAACTAGAACAGAACTAGAACAGAACTAGAACAGAACTAGAACAGAACTAGAACAGAACTAGAACAGAACTAGAACTGAACTAGATCAGAACTAGAACAGAACTAGAACAGAACTAGAACAGAACTAGAACAGAACTAGAACAGAACTAGAACAGAACTAGAACAGAACTAGAACAGAACTAGAACAGAACTAGAACAGAACTAGATCAGAACTAGAACAGAACTAGAACAGAACTAGAACAGAACTAGAACAGAACTAGAACAGAACTAGAACAGAACTAGAACAGAACTAGAACAGAACTAGAACAGAACTAGAACAGAACTAGAACTGAACTAGAACTGAACTAGAACTGAACTAGAACTGAAATAGAACATAACTAGAACAGAACTAGAACAGAACTAGAACAGAACTAGAACAGAACTAGAACAGAACTAGAACAGAACTAGAACAGAACTAGAACAGAACTAGAACAGAACTAGAACAGAACTAGAACAGAACTAGAACAGAACTAGAACAGAACTAGAACAGAACTAAAACAGAACTAGAACAGAACTAGAACAGAACTAGAACAGAACTAGAACAGAACTAGTACAGAACTAGAACAGAACTAGAACAGAACTAGAACAGAACTAGAACAGAACTAGAACAGAACTAGAACAGAACTAGAACAGAACTAGAACAGAACTAGAACAGAACTAGAACAGAACTAGAACAGAACTAGAACAGAACTAGAACAGAACTAGAACAGAACTAGAACAGAACTAGAACAGAACTAGAACAGAACTAGAACAGAACTAGAACAGAACTAGAACAGAACTAGAACAGAACTAAAACAGAACTAGAACAGAACTAGAACAGAACTAGAACAGAACTAGAACAGAACTAGTACAGAACTAGAACAGAACTAGAACAGAACTAGAACAGAACTAAAACAGAACTAGAACAGAACTAGAACAGAACTAAAACAGAACTAGAACAGAACTAGAACAGAACTAGAACAGAACTAGAACAGAACTAGTACAGAACTAGAACAGAACTAGAACAGAACTAGAACAGAACTAAAACAGAACTAGAACAGAACTAGAACAGAACTAGAACAGAACTAGTACAGAACTAGAACAGAACTAGAACAGAACTAGAACAGAACTAGAACAGAACTAGAACAGAACTAGAACAGAACTAGAACAGAACTAGAACAGAACTAGAACAGAACTAGAACAGAACTAGAACAGAACTAGAACAAAACTAGAACTGAAATAGAACTGAACTAGAACTGAAATAGAACTGAACTAGAACTGAACTAGAACTGAACTAGAACTGAACTAGAACTGAACTAGAACTGAACTAGAACTGAACTAGAACTGAACTGAACTAGAACTGAACTAGAACTGAACTAGAACTGAACTAGAACTGAACTAGAACTGAACTAGAACTGAACTGAACTGAACTAGAACTGAACTAGAACTGAACTAGAACTGAACTAGAACTGAACTAGAACTGAACTAGAACTGAACTAGAACTGATCTAGAACTGAACTAGAACTAGAACTGAACTAGAACTAGAACTGAACTAGAACTGAACTAGAACTGAACTAGAACTGAACTAGAACTGAACTAGAACTGAACTAGAACTGAACTAGAACTGAACTAGAACTGAACTAGAACTGAACTAGAACTGAACTAGAACTGAACTAGAACTGAACTAGATCTGAACTAGAACTGAATTAGAACTGAACTAGAACTGAACTAAAACTGAACTAGGACTGAACTAGTACTGAACTAGAACTGAACTAGAACTGAACTAGAGCTGAACTAGAACTGAACTAGAACTGAACTAAAACTGAACTAGAACTGAACTAGAACTGAACTAGAACTGAACTAGAACTGAACTAGAGCTGAACTAGAACTGAACTAGAACTGAACTAAAACTGAACTAGAACTGAACTAGAACAGAACTAGAACAGAACTAGAACTGAACTAGAACTGCATTAGAACTGAACTAGAACTGAACTAGAACTGAACTAGAATTGAACTAGAACTGAACTAAAACTGAACTAGAACTGAACTAGAACCGTACTAGGACAGAACTAGAACTGTACTAGAACTGAACTAGATCTCAACTGGAACTGAACTAGAACAGAATTGTTCTAAAAATCTAGTTGAATATCAATATTCACAACACTTATGAACACTCTTTTATCCTCTACTACTTTTAAAGCTGTCGGGTTTAAAATTCTTTTATTATCTAAACAATAACGACTTAATCTAAATTGTTTTAAAACATTTTACAAACACACCACAACTTTTTAGCATTGAAAACTATGTAAATATAAAACAACTAAAAAAATAACGAACTTTAATAAGTACTAATTAAGTCTTCAGTAAATTCCCTGATGAAACCTTAACCACTTAAATGCGCGACTATAAAAAAAAAGTAGTAGTATATAAACTATACAGTGTTTGCACAAGTATATAAAATGAGTTTATATAAAGTTAGCAAAAAACCAACA